GGAGGCCGAAGCCGACGTAGTACCTGAGAGAGCAGACTCACCAGCACCTGAGTGAGCAGACGCACGAGCACCTAGAGCAGCAGCCTCGCTAGCACCTAGAGCAGCAGCCTCACCAGTACCTAGAGTAGCAGTCTCAATGCCCGGGTCGGGCGGAAAACACCGGTAACAGTCACCCTCATCACTAATAGACACAGCATACATGGCAGCAAGAATAGCATCAAAGTCAAGGTCAAAGACAGCTACACCCGCCCTAGACAGCTCGCCCCAGCGGGGGATCTCAGTGGCCTCAGGGAACTGGTGACACCAAGCGTCCGTCAGGCGGCCAAAGCAGCGCGTGGTGGAGTGCGCACCCCCGCACGGCTCACCCGCGCGGTCGCCGGTGCGTAGGACGTAGGTGCACGGACCAGTACCCCCACCCCGCTGGCGTGCAGCGTACCACTCACGGAGCTGCTGAGGGGGGGGGGATGTCACGAGTGCGCTGCTGCCGCTGCTGCTGCTGCTGCTGGCGCTGACCACCACCGGAGCCGACCCTCTGCCCAGCGCCACCCCGACCAGCTCCACCTCCTCCGCCGCCGCCTCCTCCACCGCCGCCACCTCCGCCACCTCCGCTCCCACCGCCACCGCCGCCGCCTCCTCCGCCTCCACTGCCGCCACCGACACCTTCACCCCCGCCACCACTCCCACCACCACCCCCACCCCCTCCACTGCCGCCACCGCCACCTCCGCCACCCCCACCAGCCCCTCCAACACCCTTGCCCCCCTTGCCCTTGCCGGTGCGGCGTCTCCCGCTCGGGGCAGACGCAGCGCCGACCGACTCGAGACCAACGAGGTCGGCCGCAGCAGCAGAGGCAACAGAGGGCAAAAGGGGGGAGGGGGAACACCCCTCAAAGACGGGGGTGCGAGGGTCACCACGAGAGGCTCCTACAGCGACTATGCTCTTCTCTGCTGCTAGAAGGGCCTTCTCGAGGAGGTCAACGGTGAGAGTGGTGGGGCAAACTGAGAGGAAGTGGTCCCTGACTACGCGAAGGGAGTCAGGGAGCCGGGTGACTATGTAGTAGAGGGTGATGTACATGGGGGGGGGGTTCTTGGCGCAGAACTCAGCAGGAAGCGCAGCGCGGTAGCGAGTGTCACTAGTGCGGAGGTGCGTAATGAGGTCAGCGACTGTGGGAAAGGCAGCAAGGTCAGGGAAGAGGTACGGTAGCATGAGGCGGCTCAGTGCAGCAGTGGCAGGGGAGGAGTAGCGCGCAACTACAGCGTCGTACAAGGTGTGAGCACTCTTGTACTGGCTAAAGTGCGCTCGCTCAGAGGTAGGCAGGTGGCGACGCACAACTAGACGTGCAGCAGCATCGCGTGTGGCCCACTGTGAGCGAACGGTGGCGTCGGCATCAGCAGCAGGGGCAGGAGAGGCACCAGAGGTGAGGTCAAAGAGGGAGAGACCGTCTGCCCTATCGCACTGTAAGAAAAGCTGCAGGTCATCTACCCAGACGTCAAAGTCAATGGCCCGACCCTCAGCGTCAAAGGCGAGGACACTAGGGGTAGCCATGACAACAGTAGACTAGCAGTGCGAACAGTAGGGTAAGGGCAGTGCAGTGATAGAGGCGCTGCTCTTACCGGACAGGGCGGCTCGGGCGGCTCGGCGGCTCGGCGGCTCGGCAGGACGGCGGGTCGGCGACACGGCGGCTCGGGCGGCTCGGCGGCTCGGGCGGCTCGGGCGACTCGGCGGCTCGGGCGGCTCGGGCGGCTCGGCAACTCGGCGGCCCGGGCGGTTCGGCGGTCGGCTGCTGGGCGGCTCGGCGGCTCGGCGGCTCGGCTGCTCGGCTGCAGGGCTGCTCGGCGGCTCGGGTGCTCGGCTGCTGGGCGGCTCGGCGGCTGGTGTGGTTGGTGACGACCGCGGCAGCAGTCGCAGAAGCTGTGGCGACTGCTGCTGCAGAGACGGCTGCGGCTGCTGCCTCAGGGACGGCGGCTGCCGGCCGCTAGGGGCCGCGAAGAGCGGCGGAGAGGCCGCGAAGGGCGCCACGAGGGGCCGTCGAGGGCGGCGACAGGCCGTGAGGAGGCCGCGGAAGGCGGCTCGAGGGGCCGCGAGGGGGGGGGGCGTAAGGGGCCGACTGGCGACGGGAGGGGCCGAAGGGGGGCCGCGGGGGGGGCTCGTAAGGGTAGCGCGAGGGGCCGGAAGGGCGGCGCAAGGGGCCGTGAGGGCGGCGCGACGGGCGCGACGGGCCGTAAGGGCGGCACGAGGGGCCGTGAGGGCGGCGCGACGGGCGCGACGGGCCGTAGGGGCGGCGCGACGGGCCGTAAGGGCGGCGCGACGAGCCGTAAGGGCGGCGCTAGGGAGCCGGGAGAGGGTCGCTAAGGGCGACGCGACGGGGCCGTGAGGGGCCTAGCGAGGGCGCGACGGTAGGGAGAGCACACAGGGCGCGACTCGGGCCGGAGCGAAGCGCGCTCCGGGCAGGAAAAAAAAAAAATCGTGGTGGTGGGCCCTAGGAATCGTTCCCACTAGGGAACCTGCTCGATACCATGAGAAGAAACGAGGAATGAAATGACTAAGTGAAAGTTGGGTACAAAAAGCAAACCCTAGAAAACTGTACCCCATATGTGCTACCCCACTATAGCCTACAGTAGCTATGTCATATAAATCTGACAGTGCGTCCCAATAGAAGGTACGGTAGAAGCGTGTTAAGTGCTTCACATCCCATAATAGGGGAAGAACGCGCTACTAATTATTATGAGGCTTACAAATCCGGCATACCGCATATTAATTCAGACATAATGATGCACGCGGACGGCCTCTTATGCTGCACGACACAATACTGCAAGTGTCATGCTCTGGCCCTTACACTGAATCATAATCTTCTTTGGGCCTTGTCTTTTTTTTTTTTTTTTTTTAAGGCCATAACCAGTAACTGCAATTTCAGTTTGCACATAGCAGCGAGGGCAACTTCTCGTCCCTCATAGCTGTGGTAGCTGCTGTGTCGTCAGGCAGAGCAGCACCATCTCGATCTCGATAGCACCAGCAAATCACGCCACAGCAGATGCGCTATTGAGGCAGCAGCAGCGACCGCACGCTAGCAGCGGCGATCGTGCACCAGCAATGGCGATCGCAGGCCAGCAAAGGCGATCGCGCGCCAGCAGCGCAGATCGTGCCCAGCAGCAGCAATCACGGAGTAGCTGCAGCGAACGCGAAGTAGCAGCGGCGATCGGGCAGCCGTAGCAGAAGCGATCGCGCAGCAGCAGAAGCGACCGCACAGGAACAGCGATCGCGCGGCAGCCGCAGCAGCAGCGATCGCACAGCAGTGGCGATCGCACAGCAGCAGCGATCGCACAGCAGCAGCGATCGCGAAGCAGGAGCAGCAGCGATTGCGCGGCAGCAGCAGCAGCAGCAGCGATCGCACAGCAGCGGCGATCGCACAGCAGCAGCGATCGCGAAGTAGCAGCAGCAGCAATCGCACAGTAGCAGCAACAGCGCACAGCAGCGGCAACATTGATCGCACAGCAGCAGCAGCAGCGGCGATCTCGCAGCTCCAGCAAGATTCGTGCGCAGCAGCAGTAGCGATCATGCATCAGCAGCAGATAACAGGATAGCAGTAGCGATAGGACACCCGCAACTGCAGCGGTCTTGCCACATGCCACCGTGAGTTTGTTCCAACCGCAACAGCAGCAGCCGTTGTCTCGCCATGCGCAGCGTAAGCAGCAGCGGCTCGTCTCATAGCAGCAGCAACCGTCCCGGCAGCAGCAGCAGTCATAGTCGCTGCAGCAGCATCGCCAGCTCCAAGAGGTCGCAACGACCGCAGCCGCCGAAACGAACACCTCCTATGCAGCAGTATCGAGGAAGATCGCCACTGGTAGAAGCAGCGGCAATATGTTCCGCGCAGTATGTTGCACGTACATGTATCAGCAGTGTATATTATGATTTTGCCATACAAAAAACGATTTTTGTACTTGCAATTGCAGAAACTTCCAGCAGATATCGCTTCATTCGTAGAAGCAGCATGTACGAAGTTCTCGTCATGTACGAGGTAGCAGCAATGGCAGGCGAGTTAGTCTAGGAGGGTGGAAAAGTTCCCTAGGTGTGCTGTTCTAGATTCAGATCTAGAAATGATTCGACTAGGTGGCAGGTCTGTGGACCTGCCACGAGATAAGGAGCAGATGACTCCTTACTGCATAATCCTTTACAAGTCTTGTCATAATCTTTAAATTTTGAAAATTATATTTAAAATTTTTACATGTTTTGGAAATCCTGTTTCGATTCTATACATGTGGAATATTCTCCCGTGATTATTTTCCTGATCTTGTCTCACAAAGTAGGGGGTGGGTTGACTGGAGAGGCTGGTACAGTAATAGTTTCCCTTGCCGTGTGTGGTGTTCTCTAAAAAAAACCTAGGACTTCCAAATCTGGATCTTCATCCCCTACACACATCACCATACCACTTTTATTTCCATCCAGATGCTTCCAAACACATCCTTTTGCCCCTGCATATACCGGTATCCATAAACGGCATGAATATTAGGCAGTTGTTTTTCGACTCGTCAATCGGTGTTTCAGTTGAGGCGACATCACTTTACACACCCACCCACCGGTCGCCCTGTCTCCCCACACCTACACCCTCTTCCTCCCAACCCCTGCCGGCACCAACAACGTCCCAGGTGGCACACTTGTCAACCCCTCTGCATCGCCTTCAACTCCTCTATAGACCTCCTTAGATTACCCTACCCACTCCTTGGCATACCCCTTGGCATGCCAGAACACACGCATCCTAACGAATAATACTCGTACACGCCGTTCCCAGTCCTACAACCCAGCCAGCCCACATCCCACACTGCACGAGCAGAAGTGCAGACTTTTGAGTCGACTCAAAAGTCAACTCGCACTGCACGAGCAGCGATGCTGGCGTCCCCCAGCCCTGCGTGCCGCATGAGTGCTAGTGCCCAGCCCGTCTAGCCGCCAGCTGTCTCCCACTGCCCTCTCCTCACCATCTCCGTCTGCCCTGCGTGTCGCATCAGTGCTAGTGCCCAGCCTGTCTGCCTGCCAGCTGTCTCCCTCTCACCTCCTTCTCCCCACCCTCCCCTTCCACTTCCCCTTCCCTCCCCCCTTCCTCCTGTGTCGGATACTCATACACGCCGCGCCCGCTCTTGCGACCCAGCCAGCCAGCATCTGCATACTGCACGAGCAGAGGGCAGGGGCGGTACTTGGCGTCTCCTAATCCTGCGTGCAGCACCATTGCAGACCGTCTAGTGTAGCAGCAATGCTAGTGCCCAGCCCGTCTACCTGGCAGCTGTCTCCCTCTCACTGCCTTCTCCCCACCCTCACCCTCCCCCTCACCTCCCACCTCCTCCTGCCTGGGATACTCATACACACCGCGCCCGCTCTTGCGACCCAGCCACCCAGCATCTACATATTGCACGAGCAGAGGGCAGGGGCGGTACTTGGCGTCTCCTAATCCCGCATGCAGCACTCGCATGATGGCGACACAGGTGTCCAGCCCTATCAGGTCCGCTAGATGCAAAGGTCCCATGGGCTGGAACATGGGGGACAGATGGGGGGAGTGTATCGCGCAGTGGGGAGCAGAGATAGGTGATTGAGGGAAGAGCAGAGGGCAGGGGCGGTACTTGGCGTCTCCCAGCCCTGCGTGCAGCACTTGCATGATGGCGACACATGTGTCCAGCCCTATCAGGTCCGCCAGGTGTAGAGAGGCACAAATAAGCACCCACCTGGTTTGTGCCGAGCTTCATCCCTCGGTCGATGTCCTGTGCAGTGCCCACTCCCTCTAGCAGCGCATAGAATGCCTCGTTGATCATGGGCATGAGCAGAGAGAGACACAGGCGATTACACCCACCTGATTGGTACCGAGCTTCATGCCCCTATCGATGTCCATGGGAGTGCCCACCCCCTCCAGCAGCGCATAGAAGGCCTCGTTGATCATGGGCATGAGCAGAGAGAGGCACAGGCACAACAACAAGACACACCTGGTTGGTACCGAGCTTCATGCCTCTGTCGATGTCCTGAGCCGTGCCCACCCCTTCTAGGAGCGCATAGAAGGCTTCGTTGATCATGGGCATGAGCAGGCGATTCACTATGAACCCTGGGTAATCCCGTGCTTCACACACCGCCTTCCCGAATCTGAGGCGACGGGAAGGAAGGGCACGCAGGCAAGCGAAAGAAAGGAAGTTACACCTATGTCATGTCTACCATCCACGCCCATCGCACCCACCTGCGCGCAAGGCCCTTGCTGAGGTGCAGCGAGTGGTCGGTCGTGGCCAGGCCTCACACCACCTCCACGCTTACTTACCAATGCGGCCATACCCTATCCCCCCATCCAATATCCCCCCACCTGTGCGCGAGGCCCTTGGTGAGGTGCAGCGTGTGGTCTGACGTGGCAAGCCCTGGCACCACCTCCACCAATGACATGATGACAGGCGGGTTCATGAAATGCATTCCAATCAACTGAAAAGGGAGGAGGGGGGAATGGGGACAGTGTTACGGGCATTGGAGTGGCATGAGCGTACCTGCTGACCTGCTGACCTGCTCACCTGATCGGGTCGGCTGGTGGCGGCAGCAAGGAGGGTGATGGAGATGGAGGAGGTGTTGCTCGCCAGCACTGCGTTGTGCCTAACTCCCCTCTCTCTGATTCGTCTCAAACGCACCTGTTGTGGGCGGCTAGTAGCGGCAGCAAGGCGGGTGATGGAGATGGAGGAGGTGTTGCTCGCCAGCACTGCGTTGTGCCTAACTCCCCTCTCTCTGATTCGTCTCAAACGCACCTGTTGTGGGCGGCTAGTAGCGGCAGCAAGGCGGGTGATGGAGATGGAGGAGGTGTTGCTCGCCAGCACTGCGTGGTGCCTAACTCCCCTCTCTCTGATCCGTCTCAAACGCACCTGTTGTGGGCGGCTAGTAGCGGCAGCAAGGCGGGTGATGGAGATGGAGGAGGTGTTGCTCGCCAGCACTGCGTTGTGCCTAACTCCCCTCTCTCTGATTCGTCTCAAACGCACCTGTTGTGGGCGGCTAGTAGCGGCAGCAAGGCGGGTGATGGAGATGGAGGAGGTGTTGCTCGCCAGCACTGCGTTGTGCCGAACTCCCCTCTCTCTGATTCGTCTCAAACGCACCTGTTGTGGGCGGCTAGTAGCGGCAGCAAGGCGGGTGATGGAGATGGAGGAGGTGTTGCTCGCCAGCACTGCGTTGTGCCTAACTCCCCTCTCTCTGATTCGTCTCAAACGCACCTGTTGTGGGCGGCTAGTAGCGGCAGCAAGGCGGGTGATGGAGATGGAGGAGGTGTTGCTCGCCAGCACTGCGTTGTGCCTAACTCCCCTCTCTCTGATCCGTCTCAAACGCACCTGTTGTGGGCGGCTAGTAGCGGCAGCAAGGCGGGTGATGGAGATGGAGGAGGTGTTGCTCGCCAGCACTGCGTTGTGCCTAACTCCCCTCTCTCTGATTCGTCTCAAACGCACCTGTTGTGGGCGGCTAGTAGCGGCAGTGTCGGAATCTTCTGCCTCACCTGCTCCTGTCCCCTCATTCTCGCTGACCTCTCCTCCTCGTCCCTGTTGTTGTCTTGTCGCTGCTCCCATGTCCCATTCTCCGTTCTCAGCCACTACCATGCGGTAACGTTATCCACTATATGAGGCAAACAAACGAGAGAACGGGTTGTGTTGGCTGCTCCTAGCCTATTTGAATTCCTACCCCGTGTCGCACAATTTCCTATATGCTCCCTTGGGCTCCTGTCGCTGAGCTTTCGGATTGGCCTTCCAGATTGCCCCTGGCCCTTGAATGCTTCCCTTTCGTGTCCCACTGCTCCCTGAGTCACCAACTTCGCGTCATTCCCACAAACCCAGCCCTTTCCTACCGACTACAGTGCCCTCTACAGTGCCTTACTTTAATTCGTCTACACCAAACAAGCACGTAACTGAATGTATTGTCTACATCAATAGATTCTGTGACAGCAGCAAGGCGGGTGATGGAGATGGAGGAGGTGTTGCTCGCCAGCACTGCGTTGTGCCTAACTCCCCTCTCTCTGATTCGTCTCAAACGCACCTGTTGTGGGCGGCTAGTAGCGGCAGCAAGGCGGGTGATGGAGATGGAGGAGGTGTTGCTCGCCAGCACTGCGTTGTGCCGAACTCCCCTCTCTCTGATTCGTCTCAAACGCACCTGTTGTGGGCGGCTAGTAGCGGCAGCAAGGCGGGTGATGGAGATGGAGGAGGTGTTGCTCGCCAGCACTGCGTGGTGCCTAACTCCCCTCTCTCTGATCCGTCTCAAACGCACCTGTTGTGGGCGGCTAGTAGCGGCAGCAAGGCGGGTGATGGAGATGGAGGAGGTGTTGCTCGCCAGCACTGCGTTGTGCCTAACTCCCCTCTCTCTCATTCGTCTCAAACGCACCTGTTGTGGGCGGCTAGTAGCGGCAGCAAGGCGGGTGATGGAGATGGAGGAGGTGTTGCTCGCCAGCACTGCGTTGTGCCTAACTCCCCTCTCTCTGATTCGTCTCAAACGCACCTGTTGTGGGCGGCTAGTAGCGGCAGCAAGGCGGGTGATGGAGATGGAGGAGGTGTTGCTCGCCAGCACTGCGTTGTGCCTAACTCCCCTCTCTCTGATTCGTCTCAAACGCACCTGTTGTGGGCGGCTAGTAGCGGCAGCAAGGCGGGTGATGGAGATGGAGGAGGTGTTGCTCGCCAGCACTGCGTTGTGCCTAACTCCCCTCTCTCTGATTCGTCTCAAACGCACCTGTTGAGGGCGGCTAGTAGCGGCGGCAAGGCGGGTGATGGAGAAGGAGGAGGTGTTGCTCGCCAGCACTGCGTTGTGCCTAACTCCCCTCTCTCTGATTCGTCTCAAACGCACCTGTTGTGGGCGGCTAGTAGCGGCAGCAAGGCGGGTGATGGAGATGGAGGAGGTGTTGCTCGCCAGCACTGCGTGGTGCCTAACTCCCCTCTCTCTGATCCGTCTCAAACGCACCTGTTGTGGGCGGCTAGTAGCGGCAGCAAGGCGGGTGATGGAGATGGAGGAGGTGTTGCTCGCCAGCACTGCGTTGTGCCTAACTCCCCTCTCTCTGATTCGTCTCAAACGCACCTGTTGTGGGCGGCTAGTAGCGGCAGCAAGGCGGGTGATGGAGATGGAGGAGGTGTTGCTCGCCAGCACTGCGTTGTGCCTAACTCCCCTCTCTCTGATCCGTCTCAAACGCACCTGTTGTGGGCGGCTAGTAGCGGCAGCAAGCCGGGTGATGGAGATGGAGGAGGTGTTGCTCGCCAGCACTGCGTTGTGCCTAACTCCCCTCTCTCTGATTCGTCTCAAACGCACCTGTTGTGGGCGGCTAGTAGCGGCAGCAAGGCGGGTGATGGAGATGGAGAAGGTGTTGCTCGCCAGCACTGCGTTGTGCCTAACTCCCCTCTCTCTGATTCGTGTCAAACGCACCTGTTGTGGGCGGCTAGTAGCGGCAGCAAGGCGGGTGATGGAGATGGAGGAGGTGTTGCTCGCCAGCACTGCGTTGTGCCTAACTCCCCTTTCTCTGATTCGTCTCAAACGCACCTGTTGTGGGCGGCTAGTAGCGGCAGCAAGGCGGGTGATGGAGATGAAGGAGGTATTGCTCGTCAGCACTGCGTTGTGCCTAACTCCCCTCTCTCTGATTCGTCTCAAACGCACCTGTTGTGGGCGGCTAGTAGCGGCAGCAAGCCGGGTGATGGAGATGGAGGAGGTGTTGCTCGCCAGCACTGCGTTGTGCCTAACTCCCCTCTCTCTCATTCGTCTCAAACGCACCTGTTGTGGGCGGCTAGTAGCGGCAGCAAGGCGGGTGATGGAGATGGAGGAGGTGTTGCTCGCCAGCACTGCGTTGTGCCTAACTCCCCTCTCTCTCATTCGTCTCAAACGCACCTGTTGTGGGCGGCTAGTAGCGGCAGCAAGGCGGGTGATGGAGATGGAGGAGGTGTTGCTCGCCAGCACTGCGTTGTGCCTAACTCCCCTCTCTCTGATTCGTCTCAAACGCACCTGTTGTGGGCGGCTAGTAGCGGGGGCAAGGCGGGTGATGGAGAAGGAGGAGGTGTTGCTCGCCAGCACTGCGTTGTGCCTAACTCCCCTCTCTCTGATTCGTCTCAAACGCACCTGTTGTGGGCGGCTAGTAGCGGCAGCAAGGCGGGTGATGGAGATGGAGGAGGTGTTGCTCGCCAGCACTGCGTTGTGCCTAACTCCCCTCTCTCTGATTCGTCTCAAACGCACCTGTTGTGGGCGGCTAGTAGCGGCAGCAAGGCGGGTGATGGAGATGGAGGAGGTGTTGCTCGCCAGCACTGCGTTGTGCCTAACTCCCCTCTCTCTGATTCGTCTCAAACGCACCTGTTGTGGGCGGCTAGTAGCGGCAGCAAGGCGGGTGATGGAGATGGAGGAGGTGTTGCTCGCCAGCACTGCGTTGTGCCTAACTCCCCTCTCTCTGATTCGTCTCAAACGCACCTGTTGTGGGCGGCTAGTAGCGGCGGCAAGGCGGGTGATGGAGATGGAGGAGGTGTTGCTCGCCAGCACTGCGTTGTGCCTAACTCCCCTCTCTCTGATTCGTCTCAAACGCACCTGTTGTGGGCGGCTAGTAGCGGCAGCAAGGCGGGTGATGGAGATGGAGGAGGTGTTGCTCGCCAGCACTGCGTTGTGCCTAACTCCCCTCTCTCTGATTCGTCTCAAACGCACCTGTTGTGGGCGGCTAGTAGCGGCAGCAAGGCGGGTGATGGAGATGGAGGAGGTGTTGCTCGCCAGCACTGCGTTGTGCCTAACTCCCCTCTCTCTGATCCGTCTCAAACGCACCTGTTGTGGGCGGCTAGTAGCGGCAGCAAGCCGGGTGATGGAGATGGAGGAGGTGTTGCTCGCCAGCACTGCGTTGTGCCTAACTCCCCTCTCTCTGATTCGTCTCAAACGCACCTGTTGTGGGCGGCTAGTAGCGGCAGCAAGGCGGGTGATGGAGATGGAGGAGGTGTTGCTCGCCAGCACTGCGTTGTGCCTAACTCCCCTCTCTCTGATTCATCTCAAACGCACCTGTTGTGGGCGGCTAGTAGCGGCAGCAAGGCGGGTGATGGAGATGGAGGAGGTGTTGCTCGCCAGCACTGCGTTGTGCCTAACTCCCCTCTCTCTGATTCGTCTCAAACGCACCTGTTGTGGGCGGCTAGTAGCGGCAGCAAGGCGGGTGATGGAGATGAAGGAGGTATTGCTCGCCAGCACTGCGTTGTGCCTAACTCCCCTCTCTCTGATTCGTCTCAAACGCACCTGTTGTGGGCGGCTAGTAGCGGCAGCAAGCCGGGTGATGGAGATGGAGGAGGTGTTGCTCGCCAGCACTGCGTTGTGCCTAACTCCCCTCTCTCTCATTCGTCTCAAACGCACCTGTTGTGGGCGGCTAGTAGCGGCAGCAAGGCGGGTGATGGAGATGGAGGAGGTGTTGCTCGCCAGCACTGCGTTGTGCCTAACTCCCCTCTCTCTGATTCGTCTCAAACGCACCTGTTGTGGGCGGCTAGTAGTGGCAGCCAGGCGGGTGATGGAGATGGAGGAGGTGTTGCTCGCCAGCACTGCGTTGTGCCTAACTCCCCTCTCTCTGATTCGTCTCAAACGCACCTGTTGTGGGCGGCTAGTAGCGGCAGCAAGGCGGGTGATGGAGATGGAGGAGGTGTTGCTCGCCAGCACTGCGTTGTGCCTAACTCCCCTCTCTCTGATTCGTCTCAAACGCACCTGTTGTGGGCGGCTAGTAGCGGCGGCAAGGCGGGTGATGGAGAAGGAGGAGGTGTTGCTCGCCAGCACTGCGTTGTGCCTAACTCCCCTCTCTCTGATTCGTCTCAAACGCACCTGTTGTGGGCGGCTAGTAGCGGCAGCAAGGCGGGTGATGGAGATGGAGGAGGTGTTGCTCGCCAGCACTGCGTTGTGCCTAACTCCCCTCTCTCTGATTCGTCTCAAACGCACCTGTTGTGGGCGGCTAGTAGCGGCAGCAAGGCGGGTGATGGAGATGGAGGAGGTGTTGCTCGCCAGCACTGCGTTGTGCCTAACTCCCCTCTCTCTGATTCGTCTCAAACGCACCTGTTGTGGGCGGCTAGTAGCGGCAGCAAGGCGGGTGATGGAGATGGAGGAGGTGTTGCTCGCCAGCACTGCGTTGTGCCTAACTCCCCTCTCTCTGATTCGTCTCAAACGCACCTGTTGTGGGTGGCTAGTAGCGGCAGCAAGGCGGGTGATGGAGATGGAGGAGGTGTTGCTCGCCAGCACTGCGTTGTGCCTAACTCCCCTCTCTCTGATTCGTCTCAAACGCACCTGTTGTGGGCGGCTAGTAGCGGCGGCAAGGCGGGTGATGGAGAAGGAGGAGGTGTTGCTCGCCAGCACTGCGTTGTGCCTAACTCCCCTCTCTCTGATTCGTCTCAAACGCACCTGTTGTGGGCGGCTAGTAGCGGCAGCAAGGCGGGTGATGGAGATGGAGGAGGTGTTGCTCGCCAGCACTGCGTTGTGCCTAACTCCCCTCTCTCTGATTCGTCTCAAACGCACCTGTTGTGGGCGGCTAGTAGCGGCAGCAAGGCGGGTGATGGAGATGGAGGAGGTGTTGCTCGCCAGCACTGCGTTGTGCCTAACTCCCCTCTCTCTGATTCGTCTCAAACGCACCTGTTGTGGGCGGCTAGTAGCGGCAGCAAGGCGGGTGATGGAGATGGAGGAGGTGTTGCTCGCCAGCACTGCGTTGTGCCTAACTCCCCTCTCTCTGATTCGTCTCAAACGCACCTGTTGTGGGCGGCTAGTAGCGGCAGCAAGGCGGGTGATGGAGATGGAGGAGGTGTTGCTCGCCAGCACTGCGTTGTGCCTAACTCCCCTCTCTCTGATTCGTCTCAAACGCACCTGTTGTGGGTGGCTAGTAGCGGCAGCAAGGCGGGTGATGGAGATGGAGGAGGTGTTGCTCGCCAGCACTGCGTTGTGCCTAACTCCCCTCTCTCTGATTCGTCTCAAACGCACCTGTTGTGGGCGGCTAGTAGTGGCGGCAAGGCGGGTGATGGAGAAGGAGGAGGTGTTGCTCGCCAGCACTGCGTTGTGCCTAACTCCCCTCTCTCTGATTCGTCTCAAACGCACCTGTTGTGGGCGGCTAGTAGCGGCAGCAAGGCGGGTGATGGAGATGGAGGAGGTGTTGCTCGCCAGCACTGCGTTGTGCCTAACTCCCCTCTCTCTGATTCGTCTCAAACGCACCTGTTGTGGGCGGCTAGTAGCGGCAGCAAGGCGGGTGATGGAGATGGAGGAGGTGTTGCTCGCCAGCACTGCGTTGTGCCTAACTCCCCTCTCTCTGATTCGTCTCAAACGCACCTGTTGTGGGCGGCTAGTAGCGGCAGCAAGGCGGGTGATGGAGATGGAGGAGGTGTTGCTCGCCAGCACTGCGTTGTGCCTAACTCCCCTCTCTCTGATTCGTCTCAAACGCACCTGTTGTGGGTGGCTAGTAGCGGCAGCAAGGCGGGTGATGGAGATGGAGGAGGTGTTGCTCGCCAGCACTGCGTTGTGCCTAACTCCCCTCTCTCTGATTCGTCTCAAACGCACCTGTTGTGGGCGGCTAGTAGCGGCAGCAAGACGGGTGATGGAGATGGAGGAGGTGTTGCTCGCCAGCACTGCGTTGTGCCTAACTCCCCTCTCTCTGATTCGTCTTAAACGCACCTGTTGTGGGCGGCTAGTAGCGGCAGCAAGGCGGGTGATGGAGATGAAGGAGGTATTGCTCGCCAGCACTGCGTTGTGCCTAACTCCCCTCTCTCTGATTCGTCTCAAACGCACCTGTTGTGGGCGGCTAGTAGCGGCAGCAAGCCGGGTGATGGAGATGGAGGAGGTGTTGCTCGCCAGCACTGCGTTGTGCCTAACTCCCCTCTCTCTCATTCGTCTCAAACGCACCTGTTGTGGGCGGCTAGTAGCGGCAGCAAGGCGGGTGATGGAGATGGAGGAGGTGTTGCTCGCCAGCACTGCGTTGTGCCTAACTCCCCTCTCTCTGATTCGTCTCAAACGCACCTGTTGTGGGCGGCTAGTAGCGGCAGCAAGCCGGGTGATGGAGATGGAGGAGGTGTTGCTCGCCAGCACTGCGTTGTGCCTAACTCCCCTCTCTCTCATTCGTCTCAAACGCACCTGTTGTGGGCGGCTAGTAGCGGCAACAAGGCGGGTGATGGAGATGGAGGAGGTGTTGCTCGCCAGCACTGCGTTGTGCCTAACTCCCCTCTCTCTGATTCGTCTCAAACGCACCTGTTGTGGGCGGCTAGTAGCGGCAGCAAGGCGGGTGATGGAGATGGAGGAGGTGTTGCTCGCCAGCACTGCGTTGTGCCTAACTCCCCTCTCTCTGATTCGTCTCAAACGCACCTGTTGTGGGCGGCTAGTAGCGGCAGCAAGGCGGGTGATGGAGATGGAGGAGGTGTTGCTCGCCAGCACTGCGTTGTGCCTAACTCCCCTCTCTCTGATTCGTCTCAAACGCACCTGTTGTGGGCGGCTAGTAGCGGCAGCAAGCCGGGTGATGGAGATGGAGGAGGTGTTGCTCGCCAGCACTGCGTTGTGCCTAACTCCCCTCTCTCTCATTCGTCTCAAACGCACCTGTTGTGGGCGGCTAGTAGCGGCAGCAAGGCGGGTGATGGAGATGGAGGAGGTGTTGCTCGCCAGCACTGCGTTGTGCCTAACTCCCCTCTCTCTCATTCGTCTCAAACGCACCTGTTGTGGGCGGCTAGTAGCGGCAGCAAGGCGGGTGATGGAGATGGAGGAGGTGTTGCTCGCCAGCACTGCGTTGTGCCTAACTCCCCTCTCTCTGATCCGTCTCAAACGCACCTGTTGTGGGCGGCTAGTAGCGGCAGCAAGGCGGGTGATGGAGATGGAGGAGGTGTTGCTCGCCAGACTGCGTTGTGCCTAACTCCCCTCTCTCTGATTCGTCTCAAACGCACCTGTTGTGGGCGGCTAGTAGCGGCAGTAAGGCGGGTGATGGAGATGGAGGAGGTGTTGCTCGCCAGCACTGCGTTGTGCCTAACTCCCCTCTCTCTGATTCGTCTCAAACGCACCTGTTGTGGGCGGCTAGTAGCGGCAGCAAGGCGGGTGATGGAGATGGAGGAGGTGTTGCTCGCCAGCACTGCGTGGTGCCTAACTCCCCTCTCTCTGATCCGGCTCAAACGCACCTGTTGTGGGCGGCTAGTAGCGGCAGCAAGGCGGGTGATGGAGATGGAGGAGGTGTTGCTCGCCAGCACTGCGTTGTGCCTAACTCCCCTCTCTCTGATTCGTCTCAAACGCACCTGTTGTGGGCGGCTAGTAGCGGCAGCAAGGCGGGTGATGGAGATGGAGGAGGTGTTGCTCGCCAGCACTGCGTTGTGCCTAACTCCCCTCTCTCTCTCAAACGCACCTGCTGTGGGCGGCTAGTAGCGGCAGCAAGGCGGGTGATGGAGATGGAGGAGGTGTTGCTCGCCAGCACTGCGTTGTGCCTAACTCCCCTCTCTCTGATTCGTCTCAAACGCACCTGTTGTGGGCGGCTAGTAGCGGCAGCAAGGCGGGTGATGGAGATGGAGGAGGTGTTGCTCGCCAGCACTGCGTGGTGCCTAACTCCCCTCTCTCTGATCCGTCTCAAACGCACCTGTTGTGGGCGGCTAGTAGCGGCAGCAAGGCGGGTGATGGAGATGGAGGAGGTGTTGCTCGCCAGCACAGCATGGTGTGGAGCAATGCCATCCAGGCGAATCATCACCTGAGGCTAACTCACCTAACTCACCTGATCAGGTCGGCTGGTGGCAGCAGCAAGGCGGGTGATGGAGATGGACGACGTGTTGCTCGCCAGCACTGCATGGTGAGGGCAATGCCGTCCAAGCGGCCAATCACGTTGTGTTTCACCGCCTCGCTCTCTGCTACCGCCTCCACTATGAAGTCTGCCTGCTCCAGAGGGGTCAGCTCTGGGGTGGTTCGGATCCGGGCTAGTGTTGCCGCTGCTGCTGCCTGGGAGTCAGAAGAAAGCATGGGCGTGGCAAATGAGGTTCACATCTGAGACGCTTAGAAAGGAAAACACGTTCCACTGCCTCGCTCTCCGCCACGGCCTCCACTATGAAGTCTGCCTGCTCCAAAGGTTTCAGCTCTGGGGTGGTGCGGATCCTGGTTAGTGTTGCCGCTGCTGCTGCCTGGGAGACAGAAGAAAGCAGGGGCGTGGCAAACGGGGTTCACGTATGAGAATTCTACAAAGGAAAACGCGGTTCACCGCCTCGCTGTCCGCCACAGCCTCCACTATGAAGTCTGCTTGCTCCAGGGGCGTTAGTTCTGGGGTGGTGCGAATGCGCGTTAGTGTTGCCGCTGCTGCTGCCTGCCACAGGGGAAAAGCAAAGGGTGGGAGGTGGAGGGTGGGGGTTAATGCGTTTCACTGCCTCGCTCTCCGCCACGTCCTTCACAATGACGTCTTCCTGCTCCTGAGGGGTGAGTTCAGAGGTGGTGCGAATGTGGCCCGGCGAATGCTTGATGCCGCCCATGCCCCCATGCAGCCCCCATGCCCCCATGCCCCCATGCATCCCCCCCCTCTCACACACCTCATCCAGGCGCCCTTTGCTAACAAGGCGCCCCAGCGAGTGCTTGATGCCGCCCATGCAGTGATCCAGCGCTGCTAGACTCGTGTCCGCCACCACCACTCGCATGCCCGCCATGGCTGCCGTGGGGGAAAAGGGGGAGGAGGAGGGGGGGAGAGGGAAGGGGACGGGAGGGGGGAAACGGACGGATTGAGCGGGGGCGATTACAAAGGCCATGCTAGCAGCTGAGCGATTCCGCACAGGGTCAGCATTACCTGCTGCACAGGGTAATGCCCCCCCACTCACTTCCATTTTTTAGGCGCCTCAAAACACACACAGACACACACACACACACACACACACACACACACACACACACACACACACTCACTCACCTCCCAGCTGCGCGATTCCGCTCCCCATCTGCCCCGCGCCCACCACCCCCAACACCTGCAGCCCCTCCGCCGCCTTCCGCCCCGCCAGATCCCCCGGTGACACGTCAGCCTCCGCCACGTCACCAGCAGAGGAGTAGCTACGGGAATGACTCCCGCCGTTTGCGCTGCTGGCGCTCGGTGCGCTTGCAACTGAAGTGCTTAACGCGGATGTGCCTAGAGCGAAGGGCGCGTGGGGCGCCCATAGACCGTGTCTCGATATAAGCGCGCGCGTGAGAGAGCAGGATCGGCGCGCGTGGAGCGAGACGCGTGACGAGGCCATAGACGCTACGCGCGGGAGCGAGACGAGGGTCGGCGCGCGTGGAGCGCGAGGCGTGAGTGTGCAGCGGAACGGCTACGCTGCTGCGTGGCGCGCAGTGCGCGTGCGCGTGTGCGGGGGTGGTGGTGGGTGTGGCGGAGCCTGGGGCGGCGTGGGGCGGCGCGCGAAGGGGGAGCGAGAGGAGGGGCGTGGACGATGTTAGAGGCGCGAGCGACGGGTATGTGGCGCCGCTGTGTGTCGCGCAATGCGGGTGTGGGTAAGCGTGGGGCGGGGAGCGCCGGGTAAACAGAAAAACACCCGGAAAGCCGGTTCTGGCTAGAAGAAATAGTCGACCAGATATGTTAGCCTCTGTCGCAGGCGAGCAGGCTGGGGATTGGATGGGCTGCTCTGTTCACAAATTGCGCAGATTGAGGGCGGGTGTGGGGGAGGGGGATTTTGACAAGGACAGGGGTGACGTGGTAATGTTCCGAAGTGACGACACGCACGCGTCATCGTAAGAGAGGAATGGCGTGGCAGCGAAATATAGACTCGATACGAAAATAATAACGATAATAAAATACACGAGAGAACGTCATGCACTAATCATATTCTTACTCCCTCCTCATGCTGAATCTTTGTTGATTTCTTTGTTGATTTCTTTGTTGATTTCAATGCCAATGAAAGAACCATGAATTTCGTCCATCGAGCCGATGGGATAAACATCTCTTCAAGCTCCCAGCATAGCTTACGCATCCCCATCAGCCAAGCTCCCCCACGAGAGAACGTCATGCACTAATCATATTCTTACTCCCTCCTCATGCTGAATCTTTGTTGATTTCTTTGTTGATTTCTTTGTTGATTTCAATGCCAATGAAAGAACCATGAATTTCGTCCATCGAGCCGATGGGATAAACATCTCTTCAAGCTCCCAGCATAGCTTACGCATCCCCATCAGCCAAGCTCCCCCTAACCCACAAAATGCTGAGCAATAATGCTCATTGTGCCCATGGCATCCACAAGCAGCCACAAGTATATGAGCCCAAGGCCGGCACACAAGGCCGTGCCTTCCGCTAGGCCATCCGTGCCTGCACTCGCCTGGCCTCGGTCTAAGAGTAGGCCTTTGATCCAACGAGGCGACTTCTGAATGGACTAGGCGTTATTCGATGTCATGCCTCCTCACTTGGCCTCAGACCAGACGTACATCTTCTTGGTGTAGAACTTTTTGAACGCCCTCTCCTTTCTGAGCTGCGGCAGAGTCATTTTGGACAGCCACGGGGCATGCTTGGACGAGCGGAGGCGGAGACAGGGCGGTTCGGAGAGGTCTTGCGGCATCTGGCAGGAGCGGGAGAAGTCAAACTCGCGGTACTGCGCTTGAACGGGGCCGTTGCTGTAGTTCGCCTTGAGCCAGCTCCATGACGAGGAGTCCCATATCGAAGCCTGCAAAAGCGGGTACAGATATCATGGAAAATCATTAGTACAAGTGTGTGAAGGGTGGGACAGCTGGAGGGCAGGCAGGGGTAGGATGTAATTCTGGAAACACCAATCCACTGGCTCACTTGAAAGATTCAATAGGAAGCAGGACGTACCTTGAATTCCATGGGCAGCGTTGGGAACGGATGCTCCGTCTCATTCACGGTGATGCGTATTGGGTAATCATCCACCATCCACATGACATACATCGGAGAGTACACTATCGAGTACGTGTGGAAATCCGCGGACGGGTCAAACGGGAATTTGAACTGCTCCAGCTTGACCTGCCCGCCCGTGATGAGATTCGTATGGATGGTGATATCCACGGGGTTCTCCCCTCCGATGAACTCAAAGTCAATCTCATCGTGAATGTCTGTGTAGCCTTGTGGGCCCGGCGAGATGAGGTAGAAGCACGGGATGATGCCGCCCGAGTAGTTTCTGGGGAGCTTCATGCGCAGGCTGTACACTCCGTACTTGTAGTAATCTTTGGAGTAGAACACTGGTGGGGGTTGAGGTATAAGACGGTGGAGGGGGGTGGGGGATGGGGGGGTGGGAGGGGGAAAAGGGGTGAGAGACTGAGGGGATGAAGGGGTGCACAGGCTGTAGACGCCGTACTTGCAGTAGTCCTTGGAGTAAAAGACTGGTGGGGGGTGGGGGTGGGAGGGAGAGGGAGTTGGAATTGGGCCGTGTAGTCTAGTGAGACGAATTTAATAGTTGTCTCTTGTCACAACGGCTCATTCGCAATCTCTGTTAATCCCTCATTGAGCCTCAACCCTCACTGCGCTTGACACCGTACTGCACCTCCCACCGCATTGCACCGCACTGTACCTACCTCCGACGGACTGGTTGGTAGCGGAGATGGTGACGGTGCCATTGCTGTCCTTGCGGCAGTTGGAGTCCTTGCACCAGTCGGGGAACTTGAAGTACTTGTCGAACGACTTATCCACTCCAAGATCTCTGAAAAGCGATACAAGCACCTCATACCGGATTGCACCGCACTGCACCTACCTCCGACGGACTGATTCGTGGCGGCGATGGTGACGGTGCCATTGCTGTCCTTGCGGCAGTTGGAGTCCTTGCACCAGTCGGGGAACTTGAAGTACTTGTCGAACGACTTATCCACTCCCGGCACCTTCTTGCGCGGCGGGATCGTCCACACGAACGGCTTGTCCGTTGAATTGCCACTTCCGCCCCCGCTCCCGGTTCCGCCTCCGCTTCCAGTTCCGCCCCCGCTCCCAGTTCCGCCAACGCTCCCAGTTCCGCCCCCGCTCCCGGTTCCGCCCCCGCTCCCGGTACCGCCCCCGCTCCCGGTACCGCCCCCGCTCCCAGTTCCGCCCCCGCTCCCGGTTCCGCTGGTGGAGTTCCCCCCGCTGCTCCCGCTTCCCGTTCCGCTGGTCGAGTTACCACCGCCGCTGCCGCTGCCAGTTCCAGTACTGTTTGACGTGCCGCTGCCCGTGCTGTTCGAGCTGCTGCCCGTGCTGCCCGTGCTGCCCGTGCTATTCGTGCTGCTGCTTGTGCTATTCGTGCTGGTGCCCGTGCTCTTTGTGCTGCCCGTGGTCCCCGTGTTACCCGATGAGCCTGTGCTATTGCCGCTGTTCGCGGTGCTTCCGGAACTTCCGGTACTCCCGCTGGAGTTCCCCACACTGCTACCAATCCCGCCGCTCGAACCAGTTCCCCCGGTTCCCCCCGTGCTTCCGCTCGCTCCCGTTCCGCTTGCGGCCCGCGTCGTTTCGAGGTTCACGGGGGAGGGGGGAGTCTTCTTGGGGGGAGCGGAAGGCTGCGGTGGGGGGGACTTGCCGCTGGGCGCACGGGGGGGGGATTTCTGCGCGGGGGGCTTCTGAGCCGGCGGAGAGCGCGGGTTCGGTTTCGGGGGGGACTTGGAAGCTTGTTGCGGGGGCTTCGGGGTCGAAGCACTGCCGGCATTCGCCTTCGGGGGGCTTTTATTGTTGGATGCTGTAGGTGGGCTCTTACGGTTCCCCCCCTGGGGCGGAATTTTATTGCTCGTGCCCTTAGGAGGGCTCTTATTGCCCGTGCCCTTAGGAGGGCTCTTGGTATTGGACGGCAAAACCGGGCTCTTGCTTGGAACCTTCGTTGGGCCCGGACTCTTGCTGCTGCTGATGCTGGCCTGCGTTGACCGCGTTGACTGGAACGACGTGGCCTCGGCTGTGACAACAGCGCGAGCGATCGCGGCATCCTGCGGGGTGATCGCAGACGCCGTTGTAGCGAGGGGTACGCGGGGGTCCCGGAATCTACCCCCGAAATCCGAGGGTACCACGTCTTCTGGTCTGGGGGCAGTGTGGCGCGCCAAGTTGTTGCCGGCAAGCGATCGGCCGGGCCAGTGCGCGGCTCTTCGCGAGCGCGCGGACGAATGGAAGGCGTAGGCTTGCGCGAGGAGCGCAAGTGTGGGGAGGAGCGCGACAAGAATTCGCAAAGTCGTGGAACGTCGGCATGGCTGCCGGCAGAACGAAAGCCGGCCTCTAGAAGTTGCCATCGCTACTAGGGACGGGCCTCGGCCCGGATAAGGAGGGAAGCGTACTGACGCTGATCCGACCGTCTAGTTGGTGCGAGAACGAGTATCTTACCAAAAATGCTTTCTGGTGGCGATTCCAGTAGATGATTTGGCAGCAAGCCTCGGCCCTCCAGCTCTCTAGGGCTCGATTTGGTGCGCCAAGTAAAGCTAGCGATTGATTGTCCTGAATTCACTTCAACAGATTCAGCATCTACCGGAAAATATGACTGTTTGTGCGAGCTTTATGTCGTTGAGGTGTCGCGTGCTATTCCCATGGCAGGTGAATGTCGAATGACATTGCAGGGCAGGGAGGAGGGAAGGGGAGGTATGATTGGGAAGTTGATGGGAAGGAGAAGGGGCACAAAGCGGTGTGAGGGTACCAGACAGCTGGGCTGGTTTTTGGCCCGGCGCGATTTGTTGGCTCTGGCCTATAATTGTGCAAATTGCTCGCTAGGATTTTCCTTGGCGGCATTTGGGTGATCCGAGTCGCGTGCATTTCTTCCCAAATGTGTTCGTCAATTTCAGCGATGGCGGATTCTCGGCGACACGTCGAGGCCCCCTGCGTACGCCGTCGGTCAGAAAGGAATCGCCTCGCACATGAGCAGGGCTGGGCAAAGAACTGCTTGGAGTGGTCGGTCGGGGCGATCGCGAGTCGCATGCGCGATGCGAAAACAGCGACGTCTCTTGGTTATGAGCTTCGTCGGAATTTCCACGCCGAGTTGGAAGAACGTTGCCCATTGAATCACATAAGTCTACACTTCTTGTCATTTGCATCTAGTGGCATTAGTTATACAACTTTTATTTTGGCTGTACAATGCATGCATACATAACATTCCGAAGACCCCCAAAATAAAATAATAAATAACATTATATAGAAACATTGGCCCCAAAACAGTGAAACCCATGCTAGAAACACCCTGCTGTCATTTTCTTGCATGAGCTCAAGCGCACTTGCAAACTCTACTAGCTCATCACAAAGAGTAAATGTGCAGGTTGGGACCTGGTTGATAAAACATCTCCAGGTTCCCGCCTGGTATCCCTACTCGTTATTGCACTGGAGCATGCCGCCCTAGAAGCACTTTCCCCAAGCATGTCGCCCTAGAAGCATTTTCCCAAGCATGTCGCCATAGTAGCTTGTCGGATGACCTACACCCTCTACGTTATTGCAACAATAAATGTCGCCACCTACGACTAACCCCTCCGCTCTAACCACTCAGATCTCACTAGGCAGGGCCCCAAGGGTAGTCAGCCACAAGGAACCTTTGCCTGTACTGTTTGAAGCGCGCCAATTGCGCTGCTGTAGGAACCCCCATCCACGGCGCCCTGGCGAGGTCGCGCCACGCCTTGCAGGGAGGCACGGCGCCGCTGGCCGGCACTCGGCACGTCCTGCGGACGTCGAAGTTGCTGTATTGCACCTTGATCGGGCCGTTCGCGAAGCTGGGCTTGAGCTTGCTCCACGACGACGCGTCCCAAATGGAGCCCTGGAAAAGAAATCGAGAAAAAAAAAACGAGAAATATTCGAACATGGTTAACGAGGGCTTCACATTTGGGTAGAGCGGCATTTTGTGGGTTGGAAGAGGGCTAGTAGGGAAGGGTCGAAGGTCGCCAGGGTAGTACCAGCGAGGCTTGATTCCTTGTATGGAGACTAAAAGGTACCCTTGAACACAGTAAAGAAACGCAATTTACTGCACCTGAATTCTCGCGTCGTGGTTTCAGCCGTCCGATTCCCATCGATAATGCCGACTACCTTGATCTTGACGGCATTAGGTGGGAGGGGTTTCTCGGGCGTCTTGTTGGTGGTGCGAATGGGCGCATTGTCCACCAATCACATGTCCCGATCAGCTTTTGAAGCACCTCACAAGGTACCGACTCACCATGATCTTGACGTTGTCGGACGGGAAAGGTTTCCCAGGCGTCCTGTTGGTGATGCGGATGGGCGTATTGTCTACTATCCACATGACCCGGTTGGGTGAGTACACGATCGTGTACGTGTGAAACGCCGCCGACGGGTCGAACGGGAAGCGGAACTGCTCCAGCTTGACCTGCCCGCCCGTGATGAGATTCGTGTGGATGGTGATGTTGCGCGGGTCCGTGCCGCCCAGGAACTCGAGGTCGATTTCGTCGTGGATCGACTGGTATGACGAGGCGCCGGGCGTGATGAGGTACATGCACGGGATGATGCCGCCCGAGTAGCCTGCGGGGAGCTTCATTCGCACGGAATAGATGCCGTAGCTGTACACGCCCTTGGACTCGAAGACTGCAAGGGTGGGGAAAAAAGACAAGCGACACAAGGATGTTGAGTTATAATGACGCTTCTGACGACCACTGGACGTGAAGGATACGATACGGTCGTCTTGAAGAAGCCTTGATGCGCATGCTGTCGTCGCATGTTCCAGTCGCATGCCATCATAGCATGCTACTATCGCATAGCGAAGTCGCAGGGTAACGTCGCATGCTCACCTCCGACGGATTTGGGGCTGACGGGGAGGGCGCCGTCTGGCGCGCTCGTGCAGTAGGGCGGCTTGCACCACGAAGGAAATAAATGAGAAACGTCTCGAGATTCGCATGCTCACCTCCGACTGATTTGGGGCTGACGGCGAGAGCGATGCCGCCGTCAGGCGAGAATGTGCAGTAGGGCGGCTTGCACCACGAAGGGAAGGCGAAGTTCTGGTTGAACGACACGTCCACTCGCTGCGCGCCGTCGACCGCCATGGCGCTCACGGCGAGGATCACGGCAAAGAGACGGAGTGATAACGCCATGGCTGAAGGGAAGCCTGGCGATTTCGGCGACGAAATGGGTGCTTCTAACTGTCTGCACTCTCGGACAGGCAGTAAGCGGCTGGAGGACGAATAGGGAGAGGCTAAGGAGAGCAGCAAAAAAACTGATTTCTTCTGGAGCAGCCCCGTAGAAAAATGATCTCAGCCTCTTATTATAACGGATGCTGCGTTACTGTGTCCTTTGCGGTTCTCTGATGCGCTACTCACACTCCCACACTGCGCAAGCACTGGTTTTCAAGAGCTGGCTGGGATGGTTAGGGAAAGGGGTGCAAATTTATCTGTACAAGGGGCTGGCTGTCTACTTCGTGGTTGATTGTGTACTTCACTGCGTCGCTGCTTTCTTGTTGATGCGGGCAGCGGGGAGCGTGTGAACGAGCATTCTTGCGCGACGCGGCACGATATCGCGGTCGCGGGATGGTTTGTGCCGGTTTGTTTTTCTGCCCATTGTGTACTTCGAACTCGCAACAGTTTCAAATACCACGATATCGAAGTAAATTTAATTCAAGGAACAATGGTTGGTAAGCCTTCTAATTTGAAGTGTATGTACACACACAAAAATACTGGTGACACAACTTTCCTTATCACAGTTCTGTGCCGTGAAACGCGGCGCCCATGATGTGCCTCTTGCGAATCGCGAACCACAATGGCCGTGAAATTGTTCCATCGTGACTTGACTCGTCGGTCACACACTCCCTTCCCTACCTCCAATTGCGGCGACTCGCCATCTAGCTGGAAGTGTAGAGGTAAACAAAATATACAGTAAAAGGAGCAACTAGTAAACACAAGTATAGTGGAGAAGCATGCTATTTAATGTGGGAACAGCATCATTATACCCTAAGCAGTTTATGCTTAGCGCTGGGTTCCTACACCAGCACGCCGTGAGCCTTGACCCCTAAACCTAACACGTTCATCAGTAAGACTCCTATCTCCTCTCATTCTTGCTACTCCTGCCCCTCTTTGTGAAACAGTCGCCACTTTTTCCGTCCTATGTGCAACCCTACTACTACTGGTCACCTCTTCCCCATTGCCTTCCTGCCCAGACACCACGCATGCCCCTCCTCCATCTCCACTACTGCTACCAGCCCCCGACACATCTACACAGGAACTAACTATCCCCGAATCTACACCCCACTTAAGCCCCTCAATGTCGGCTGCTTCAAACACCTCCTGAAGCTTATGCTCTTCCTTAGTAAGAACCCCCTCCACCTCCTCCCCATGCCTCAGTGCAAACTCCAACAACTTCCTCACTTCCTCCTCCAAGCTACTCCTCCCCATCCCATCCCCTCCCTCACTCCCCCCCTCCCCTACACTCTCTCCACCGCTACCACCGCCGGACCTCCTCTCAGCCTGGGCCCGAACCACCATTTCAGCCAGCTCCGCAATCACCTTGTCCTTGCGCCGAACCTCGCGCCGAACCTCCCGCCACCGGTCCTTAGCAATCCCCATAAGCCGAACCAGAACCTCATCCTTCTGCTCCAGACGCCGCTCTAAGCTCTGCCACCGAGGCCCTCTGCCCGGCCTGGGAGCAGCAGCCTGCAGCTGCCTCTGCAGTAAAACCGTTCTAGATATCACCTGTTGCTGCGGCTGCTGCTCGAGCCTTCTCCTTTGGTCTTCCGCCCTGCTGCCTGCTAGACCTACTCTGCTGCTGCTTGCACCTCCTGCTCCTCCCCCTGATGCTCTGCTCGTGCCAGTGGCAGAAGCAGCGGCAGCAGCAGAGGCAGCAGCCCATCTCTCCTCCTGCTCCTTTAACCTCTCCACCAGCCTTGCCACCTCCTCCTCTCGCCGTTCCGACTCAGCGCGCAGCGCCACCACCTCATCCTCCAGCCTGGCGACGTCTGTGTCCCGCGCCGCCAGCTGGCGCTCGAGCCCTCCAATCCGCTCCTTCGCCTCCCCTGCCATGGCTAGGAGCTGTTTCTTTGCATGATCCACGTCCCGCACCACAAGAGAGGAGGGAGAGGCCGGCATGGAGTAGGGGAAGCGAGGAGAGGCGGGAACGGCAAGAGAGTAGGGCTGAGGAGCGAGAGAGGAGGGCGGGGAGGAGGAGCTGACTTGTGATTCGGTGAGAGAGGACGGGAGAGAGACGGGGGTTGGGGTGTTGGCAGATGCGCAGGCAGGACCGAGGGAAAGGGAGAGGGAGGTGGGGCCGGAGAGGGAGAGGGAGGCGGAGGAGGAGGAGCGGGAGGGGTGGGGGGAGCCTGAGGGGGAGGAGGAGGAGGTCATTGCCATGTCCAGTGGGCCCCCGAATAGGCCCAGACTGAAGGTCAAGGGACTGTTGGGGTTCATGCGCGGGGGGAAGCCTGACAGGGGAGGCGAGGCAGGAGAGGTACCACTACCACCAGCAGCAGCAGCGGCAGCGGCGGATGCGGCAGCAGAAGAGGGAGAAGTGGTAGTGGGGGGAGCAGGAGAGCCAGAGAAAGAAGAACCAGCATCCCTGTGTGTGGAGGGATGTGGACGGTCCGGGAGAGTGTCTGGTGAGCTGCTCTTCTTGTCCCCCATTGGCCCGTATGATGATGCTGACGTGGCGGTTGGGGGTGGGGATGCTGACGTGGCGGGTGAGGGTGCGAAGGCCGCAGCAGCTGCAGCCGCAGCGGCGGCGGCGGCGGCAGCAGCGGAGGCATAGGAGGCAGGCGGTGCAGAGGAAGGGTCACTTGTCGTGGGTGTTGCTGGGTTGGATGTGGTACTGGTGCTGCTGACAGCACTACCACCAGAACCACCAGCAGCAGCAGCAGCACGGCTGGCAGCAGTTGCTTCAGTTGCTGCAGGCCTGGCAGAGGGTCCACCACCACCACCACCACTACCACTGCTGCTGCTGCCACTGTTGCTCGCTGACCCGCTCGCACCGCGGCCTAGACCGAACGAACCAAAGAGCGAGAACAACCCCAAACCTCTTGCAACCCCTCCTCCTCCACCTCCTCCTTCTCCCCCACCACCACTTCCTACTGCACTCTGCTCCCTCTTCACCTCCTCCTCCCTTCCCTCCTTCTCCTCACCCCTTCCCTCCACCTCCTCCCGCTCTGCAGCCCTGCCTCCCACCACCCCTCTCTCCCCTCCACCCTCTATCGACCCCACCACCCCCTCCTCATCATCTGTCTCCTCCCCTTCCTTATCCCCTTCGGGAATCACAGGCAGCGCCCCCACCGTCATCTGCGGATCCTCCTCCTCTGCACTGCGCTTCCTCTCAAACCCCTCTGCTGCCACTCTCAGCAGGTGCGCCTTCGCCTCCTCCAATCCCATCGGTCTCTCACTCTCCTCCTCCTCGTCCTCCTCCTCATCCTCCCCGCCTCTCCCCCCTCCGCTGCTGCCTTTCCTAGCAGAGGTCCCAGCGCCCTTCCCCTTCATCCCTGCATTAGCACCGGTGCCAGCAAGAGTCAGCCCCGCTAGCAGCGCCTTTCTGTCCCCCCCTCCCCCGCCACTCCCCGCCCCTGATCCGCCTCCCTTCCTCCCCCGTTCCTGCTCATCCTCCTCCTCCTCTCTCTGCCGCTCCAGCAGCTCATTAAACCGCTCCTCCCGCTGCTTCCTCTCCCTCTGCCTCTGCTGCTCCTCCTTCCGCCTCTCCCTCTCCACCTCAGCCTGCTTCTCCTTCTCCTTCTGCTGCTGCTCCTCCACCTGCCTCTGCTTCACACGTGCCAGCATCAGCTCTAGCCCTTTCAGTTCCTTCTGTAACTTTCCCACAGGAACATCTTGTTTCTGCTGCCCTTCGTCGTTGCCTCCTTCCCCCTGGGCCTCCCCTGCCCCGCCCCCAGCCTCTGTTCCTTGCTTCTTATCCCCGTCCCCAGCCCCTTCACTTGGTCCTTGTCCTTGTGTGCCCGACCCTTGTCCTGCTGCGTCCAAGGCATCAGCCGTACTCAAGTCTGTCTTCTCCCTTTCTCCAGGTACCGAGCTTGCTGCAGATTCCGTCCCAGCTCCTACTGATGCTGCTCCCACTGTTGCTCCCCCTGCCGCTCTTGCTGAGTCACCACCGACAGCGGGAGCAGCATCACCAGCAGCACCACCTGAAGTCGCAGTACCAACAACGGCAGAGGCAGAAGCATTGCCACGACCAGCAGCAGCACCACCACCACCGCCACCACTAGAAGCAGCAGCAGCAGCGTCAGCAGCCTCTCTCTTCCGCCTCTCCCTTTCTCTGGAAGCAGCAGTCAGCTCCGCCAGGGCGCGCTGCAGATGCACCATGCGGTGCACTCCCCCTCCCCCTCCCCCTCCCGCCCCCCCTCCGCCTTCTCCCCCCTGCTCCTCCTCCCCTGCGCTACTCTCATCATCCTCATCATCGTCATCATCCCCCCAACTTATCTCCCTCTCCATTGGTGATTCCTCCTCACTCGTTCCCTCCCACCTCCCCTCCTCCTCCCCATCCCCGTCGCTCCCCCCTTCCCCCTCCCCCTCTCCGCCCTCTCCCCCGTCCCCCAGGCCCGCGTTCCCCCGCTCCGCGCTTCCCCCACGCGCCTGTCCGCGCGCCCTGAGCGCAGCAGCCTGCGCCAGCAGCTCCTCCACCTTGGACCGCATCTCCTTTCTCCCCTCATCCGCCTTATCAGCGTCTCCACTACCAGCATTGGGCACCGCGTGAGGCATCCCATTCCCACGAATCCCATCCCTGGTCTGCTTTCCCGCCTCTTCTCCGCCCTCTTGATGCCCGTCGTTCGAGGCCGAGACAGGCGCAGGTGCCGAGACAGGCGCAGGTGACGAGAAAGGCGCAGGTGGCGAGACAGGCGCAGGTGACGAGACAGGCGCAGGTGGCGAGACAGGCGCAGGTGACGAGACAGGCGCAGGTGGCGAGACAGGCGCAGGTGACGAGACAGGCGCAGGTGACGAGACAGGCGCAGGAGAAGGCACAGGAGCAGAGGCAAGCACAGGAGAAGAGGCAGGAACAGGAGCAGGGACAGACACAGGGGAAGAGACAGGCACAGGAGAAGAGACAGGCACAGGAGAAGAGACAGGCACAGGTGACGTCAGAAGCGCAGCAGCAGCTCCCTCGCCTTCCTCAGCCTTCCCTACTGATCCCCCAACGACGCCGTCTCCTACCTTCTCAACTCCTCCATTCTCTACCGCACTACCCCCTTCCCTCCCCCCTTCCCCCTCGCTCCGCCCATCGGTTCCCCCTCCGCCATCCGCCCGTTCCCCCTCTTCCCCTGCAAGCACCACCACCACACTTTCCAACCCCTCAACGCCCTTGCTCGCTCTCTCAACGCCCTTGCTTCCTCCCTCCTCTCGAGACCTCTCAGCGCCTCGCGTCTCTTCCAGCTCCTGAGGCGTCTTTTTGACTTTATTCTCAGGCTTCCCCTCCTCCTCTGTACGCGCAGCCACTTTCCTTTCCTCATTCTCCGCCACTGGTCGCCCGTTTTGCTGCTTTTCATCTCCTGCGACCCGCATTTCCCCCTGCCTCTCGCCCTCGCCCAGATTCTCGCTCTCTGCCGGCGCTTGCTGCCCATTTTGCAGCGTCCGAACTTCGGCCACAGGCTGGCTTTCAGACGGCTCATTACATTTCCCACCCTCGCCAACCTCCCCACTCTTCACACCATCCCCAGTCTCCGACACAGAGATTTCCTTCTGCAGCCCGTTTTCGTCATTTTTCCCATTCATCTCTCCCCCAACCTCCAACCCCACTCCCTCTCCTTCCCTCTTCTCCTCAGTAACTTCCTGTCCCCCCTTCTCCGCCACATTATCCCTCACTCCCTCCTTCCGGCTATCGCCGTCATCACTGGAGATTCCATTTGCCTCTGCCTGCATGTCTGCGCCGCTCGCTGCCGGCGCTGGTTGAACCGTCGGAGCGGGCTTTAAGCTCTCGATTGACTGAGGCGGATTCTCGTCAGTTGGCGGGAGGTTAGTATTCGTATTAGCCGGAGCATTATTTCCTATATCAGCCACTGCGATTGGGCCAGGAACAGCGTCTGGTGGCTTGGCTGCATCGCCTTCAACCGTGACGGACCTTATTGTACCTTGGTCGAGTGCAATCTCCTTGTTTACAGTGTCGGCGCCATTCTCCTCGGGAGCCACGCGAGACTGTGAGGGCGAGAGCCCGAAGAACGTCCCCCATCCAGGTCCCCCGCCGCTCATGCCTCGCCCGTGACACTAACCAGCCGAGCGGTTACAAGATACGTATTTTATTACTTTGTTTTGACCGTGCTAAGTGGCGTGCTGTCTGAAGGTTGGTGAAGGTACGCTCTGGAAAATAGCGATAACGGGTGGACCCAACGCGAGATGCCTATTGAAGACCTGACTCTCTTTGCGTTCGACGGGTCGCATTGACCTAAACTACATATGCACTGAGTAGGACGAAGGGCTGTACGGAGATAAGCGTTGTGAGAGGTGTGGCTGATGGGGAAAGGTAAAGGTAAAGGTAAAGGAGGGGGGAAATCCCCCTTTGGGTTACCCCGGGCTGTCGATCGTAATCCGCCTACCCACTTGTTTACACGCCTCGCTGGGTATCGAGGTTGTATCCACTCCCAGATGAGCACCTGTGTAACCCCCTTCTGGGGGGCTGGCAGAACACGCCGCAGGGGGGATTTGATCCCGGGACCTCATCTTTCGGCTGATGGGGAAAGGGTTCTGCTTGTGGAATATGGTGTTTGAGTTGAGGTGATGAGATTTCGCCTCAATAGAGCGGTTTGGGTTTGCAAACGGCTCATTTGGAGAATTCGCTAATATGAAAAAGGTAGACTCCAGACTATGAGTAAAAAATAGAAATGCCTTTGGTATCGGTAGGTTTGACCTTTCTGTGCTGACTGAAGTCGTGTTTTCCTCGCAAGTGGGGCACAGCTGGCTTGTGCGATTGTATAAAATGGCTCTCCGTGCAGAGAATCTGGAATGGGTAGTTCTAAAGTTCCCGGTAGTTTTGAGGACAACCCGAAACAGAAACAAGTTTCTCAGTGCGCCAATGAAAATTCGATAATTTCTGGCGGGAACTTCGATCACCAGTGGCAACCATTGAAACAGTGTGGACCTTCCAGAGGACATTGAGAAAGTGGATAACGTACAGAAAGTACAGCTGATACAAGTATGTACTTGTGGCGAGGTTTGCTGTGGCGAGGAAAATCGGTCACTTCAATTTGGCGCAAACACCAAGGCGCAGGTCAGCTCGGCTGCCCCAGATGCCAAACCAAGATCGTTCCACACACTGTGCAAATAATTTCTTATCGAGCAGACCTGACCGAGAGCTTTCACCCCCTGCAAGCCAGCAGCACATCAAGGAACATTTCACGCAGGAGTTCCCAAGGCGCCGCGGGAATATGCCAGATGTGCCTCCACCCGCCGACGTTTTTCGCTTTTCTTGGAGGCCGGGCAGGGACTTCTGGCCCAGGGCCGTCTTTTCCCTCTTTTTCGTGGGCTGCCAACGAAGCAACTCCAAGCCAAGACCAACGGTTTGCCTGTCAGGTTGCTCGTTGACATTTCACCAACCTCGATGATGTCGAACCGAAAATCGGGGGACTCAATAATGCGAATGATTGCTCTGAATTCGTTGACAATACCACATCCATTTCTTCAGTCCCAGATCTCACTTCTGCTTCTTCATCCACCTTCACTAGTGGGTAGGTGACGGATCTAGGAGTTTTACTTGCCATTTGTAGAATAGCCAGGATCTTGCAGTGTTTCCGCACGCCCGTCAGTTGAGGGCTTACCCTTACCGGTAGTAATGGCATCAGGAGACGAAATCCCGCCTGTTGTCGAAGACGTCTCGCAAATCGGAGGGGACGCTTCGCAGACGGAAGCCCCATCCGCGGAAATTGCTGATTCAGCTCCGTTGGAATCGGCCGATGTCATATCAAGCACTGCGGGATTCGAACCCGCGATCGGTCCCGATGGAGCTGACTCTGGCTTCGCACCAGCGGACGTTCCGGAGCTCGCGGCGGTCCCGGAGATGGCGGCGGAACCAACGATCACGCATCGCGAGTTTTATTTCATCAGAATTCCGCGTCCGGATTTGTCGGCGGAGATCGGCAAGATCAAGGCGGTGGAGCAGCGGGTGAAGGAGAAGCGCGACAAGCAGCAGGCCGTTAGTGCCGCTCTTCGCGCGAAGAAGGTACCCCATCGCGCATGTTTCATCCTCTGTGTGCACAATTTCACGGAGCTATGATTCGTTTTGTTTTGATATCCGCTTGATGTTTTCTTTTATTCTCAATCGCGATGTGTCAATAATTGCTCCCGTTCCTGTTCGCCTGTTCGTGCCGCGATCCGCGCTGACACAGGCGCAATGGTCGGAGGCGTTCGAAGCGCTCAAGGCCGCGCGGGCGCGCGCGCGGGATTGTTCGCAGGACGTGCGGAGCAAGTTCGACGAGGCGAAGCCGCTGCAGGGCGTGCTGCGCAAGATGAACGAGAGCAAGGCGAGCGTGCGCGACAGAGGCCGCGGGCTGGAGTGCACCACGGAGGCGCAGCTCAACGCGCTGGTAAGCCAATCAGCATCCTGTATTGCTTCCATAACGCTGCATAAACAGAAATATGCTCGTGAGTGTTGATCCCGTGACCGATCTGTTAGTAACTTTTGCTTTGATTAAGTACTGAAATTGATCCACTCACATCTCCTCTGCACGAACGAATTCGGACATTTGAGCAGCCTCTAGCCTTCGCAGCGCTTGGCCCGCAGTTTGGGCTGGCGGATCGCCGTACGCCGCGTGGATTGAAAGTGACGTTTGCGTTTTTAACTACTTCTCCAACCCATCCCGGTCGTCCTCGCCCGTCTCACCCGCCGCAGATCGCGGCGACGGAGCACCGCATGCAGCACGAGACGATATCGCTGAAGGAGGAGAAGCAGCTGATGAAGGAGCTCAAGGAGCTGGAGGCGTCGCGCCCCAAGGTGAAGGAGATGGAGGCCCTCACCGCGTCGTTCCAGGAGAGCCAGGGCCAGCGCGACTCCATCCAGGAGCGCCTCAAGGTAAGGCGCGCGCTGCTGCGCTGGTGGGAAGGCTGGGAGTGCTGGGAATGCTGGGAATGCTGGGCATGTTGGGAAGGCTGGGAGTGCTGGGAATGCCAGGCATGTTGGAAATGCTGGGAATGATGTGATCTTGTTATGGTGGCTTTTCCTCCCCGCACCCCCCTTTCTCCCTTTGACCCGATCTTGCCGAGCTGACGAGCGACACAGCAAGTCACGCATCCTCTTCCTCCTTCCGCCCTTAACCCCCCTCCCCTCCCCTATCTTCCCCCCTCAACATTCCCCCCCTCCCTTCCCGCCTCTTTCCTTCCATCCGCTCCCCCCTCCTCTGATCCAGCCGCTCATGGCGGAGGTGGACGTGCTGAAGCTGGAGCGCGACGCGGCGCAGAAGATCTGCGCGACGCTCGAGGCGGAGGCGGCGGCGCTGGATGAGGAGGTGCAGGCGCTGTTCGGGGAGCGCAACAAGGCGCAGCTCGACGCCGATAAGGTCTACGACGAGCTGCGCGCCGCGCGCGCCGCCACCAACAAGAAGGTGCGCGGGCTTTCCTTTCCGCCCTCCCGATCCGCGTCGAATATTCGCCCCCCATCCTTCCCCCCTGGCTGTCGCTCCCGTTCCGCCGTCCTTCCCTTCGCCTCTCGCTCCTCCCCCCATAGGATGTGGCCTTCCGCCAGTACCGTGCGGACCCGGCGGCTATTCAGAAGCTGGCCTTAATTTCCACCATCTCACTCCGTCCTCTGTCTTATCCACTCTCCCATTCCCGTTGCACACCCAACCACCCCCTCCCTTTTCAATTGCAGGACGAGGATTTCCGTCAGTACCGAGCGGACCTGGCGACGATTCAGGAGCTCGCGTCCAAGAAGGACGTGGCGGCGCTCGAGGCCTTCTGCGAGCAGCAGGTGCGCCTGGGGGTGCAGGGCTTGCAGCGTGCGGCTGGGGTGTGGTTCCGGGAATGACGGCGTGAATGGTGGCTGGGCTAGGAGTGCGGGATTGTGAGTTTGGTTGTGGGAGTGTAACGCGAGCAGCAGGCATGCCTTAAGAATGGAAGCAACGGAATGGAATCGAATCGAGTTATGCATCACACCCGCCCTCCCTCCCACCGTACTTTTATGTACCCGCCCTCCGATTTTCCTCATTCCTGCACCGCACCGCTCCCTCCCGCACTACTCCCTCCCACTGTCGCCCTTGCTCAGAGGGAGCGCACGCATCTCCGTCTGAACACGGACGCGGCGTACCGAGCCGCATACGTGGAGGCGAATCGCTACAGCACCATCCGCCGCTTCCGCTCGCTCGACACGCGCAGGCTCGGCGTCGACGAGGACCCCGCGAACCTGCTCGATGTGCCGTCCCGAACCTACGCGCCAGCCTCGGCACCCGCGGCTTCCGCGGCGGCTGGGGAGGCTCGGGTGGGGAGCGGGGCGGAGAAGAAGGGGAAGGGGGCCGGGGAGAAGGAGACGGGGAAGGCGGCTGGGGGAGAGAAGGGCGCAGGCGGGAAGGGGAAGGGGGAGTCTGGGGAGGGCGCAGGGAAGGGGGCGCGAGGAGCAGCTGCAGCAGCAGCGGCAGGCTGGGGGGATGAGGAAGCGGACGTGGGGAAAGGGAAGGGGGAAGGCAAGGCGGGTAAGGAGAACGGAGTAGTGATAAAGGCACCGGAAACAAAGGTAGAGGAGGTGGATGAGGAAGCGGAGAGGGAGAGGCGGAGGGAGGAGGCGATGAGGAAGGCGAAGGAGGCAGAGGCGCGCAAGGCGAAGCTGGCGGAGAAGGCTCAGAAGCGGGCGGAGGCACGCGCTGCTAAGGAGGCTGAGGCGCTCGCTAAGCGACGCGAGAAGGTGCGTGCGTGGGTGGGCGGGTGGGTGGTTGTTTGATTAG